ATTGTGAAGGCCATTTAATATCATCTAATCGTATAGTCTGTACTGAAATGTAATCGTCAATAATAGGTGGTGAACCATCTCCAGGTGGATATTTGACAGTAGTATTAGATGGTAAATCACTAACAATTTTTTGAATGAAATGAAGACGAGATGATGGAAATGAATTATGTCTAATTGATGAATTAATAAGACGTACTACTTCTGGTTTCACTTCAAACATATAAACAGTACAACCACATGCAGCTGAATAAAGTCCAAAATCTCCTAGAACAATGGATTCTTTTTCTATAGTAAATATAATATATTTTAATTTGTACCTAGATAAGCACCAATATGAACAACAATAGTTGATGGATCTCGTCGACATGTGTCAAAAAAATGTAATTGTTCGAGTAATCTAGCTTGTGCTCGATCAGGATCCGCAAATGGTCTTTCATCAGGTGGAACTGCAAGGTTATATGCTGGTGCTCGATCATTCATTAATATTATAATATGATCAGGATTTGTACTGTTATCTTGTTCTTTCGAGTTTGAATAAAATTTATTAATTGTTATTTGAATAAATGCTGGATAAGTAATAGAACGATTTTCATAAAACTCAGTAATGAATATAAAGAATAGTATTGATAAAATAATCCAACGTAATTTTGACCAACGAAGCAATGTACAGATATAATATAACTTTCGTTGTTTCCACCTGTAATATTTTTGGTTAGATCTTAATCCGATCATCTACAAAAAAAATCAATATAAAATGTATTTATTTTTTTAAATATGTGTTAACCTCGTTATCGATATAATATAATATTTCACTTGAATGTTTTCATTGATTTGTCATACTATTGATATCCAATGATTAATATCACAAAAACATTTTAATAGTTTATAGAATTTGTAATAATATTTTTTTTTCGATTAAAAAAAATAAATCTCTTTGGTTGATGGAAGTAGTACGAACTATCACATAAGTTAATAATGATCTTCTTTTTTTGTAACAAAGAATGCACTGTTAACGATTTTTGATTGAATATAATATTTTTTATGTGTTGATTATATACATATATATATGCACGCATAAAAGTAGTTTCACATGAATAGTTCGTTACAGTTGAGTGAACTGTCCTTTCTTTTTTCCTCTATTGACAATAGTTAACTTCATTTCTCGAGCTACTACATTAAAATTTTTATGAATAAAACTCTTTTAATATCAAACATCGAAGTTTATTAAATCGATATTTTAATATGTAAACTGAGAAAAGTGAATAAATAAAAATCTTTTATTACCAGCAGTGAAAATATTCATATAACTTTTAATTTTGTTCGTTTTAGACATACGTGTTTTTAAAAAATATCAAAGTTAGGTTTAGAATATTGCAGCGCTATGAATTATAAAACTTTGATATTATTCAGTATTATTTTTGTTATTTATATTTATTTATTGCTTTTGTTTGAATAAACTAATTGTAATTAATTTAGCTTTTAACTTTACAAAATACTTATGTAATAAGAAAAAATAGTATGAAGACTACGTTATCAAGGGATGATGAAGTATCAACGATCTTAATAAATTCCATTTTTTTAAATAATAGTAGGACTTGTTTTTTTCGAAACAATTTTACATCATATTCATGAAGGAATAATCTATTTATTTGTCACTGTACGACAATAACAGGCTATGAAATCTTTTAATATAAATTACTTTTATTTGTAATTATAATCCAATTTAATTTATTCATCAAAAAATTTTAAAAAAATATACATTTTTCTAAATAATGTAACTATTATATGGTTATCCTAATGCTGTTTCATCCAATGGTTGTAATGGTTCATTCTCGATAATTTCCATCCATCCATCTATATTATAACGATCAGTGAGATAATATCCTCCATCTTTTATTGTCATAGAAATCTGACGAGCATAATTATTTGACCAACGACTAAATCGATAATTTTGTTCAGCAATACGAATATAATCACGACCAACTTCAGTAATAACTGCAATATGTCCAAATGGTAGATCTCGACAACGAGAATAAATTAAAAGAGAATCTTTTTTTGGTAATGTCGAAGAACCATTGGAATGAGCTATTAAAGGAAATTTTTTTCCATCAGTAACTCGTTCAATATTTGATAATTCACGCCAACCATCAGCTGCTGTATTAATACTTTGAAATGTACAACTTTTTCGTATTAATAACCATCGACGAGCAAATTCAACACATTGCCATTTAAATCCGGTAAATATTCCATTGAAATAACAATGTTCACCAGAAAAATAATTATCATCACCATTTGAATAAGCTGGAACATTTGTTGATGCAATACCTAATACTTCATTATAACGAACCATTCTCTATAGCGTGAAGAAATACAATCTGAAATAAATATATATTCTGAGTGCATATGTTTCATAAGAATAATAAATCTAATGGCAGAGAGAACGAGAAAAAAATGTGCTTCGTATATAGACGTCATCGATGACAATGCAAATTTTCTTTCTTCTCTACATCTGAATAACAAAATAGGAATGAAAAGAAAAGTAAAACATGAAGGTTGACATAATTTTTAACAACATGAATAAATGAAAGTCATATGAATTGCATGACTCATCTATAATAATAATTTGAACTGAATGGAATTACGAAAGAATATTTACTCTTTGTGTGCTATGCTATTTCATCATATATTTTGGCTAACTTTTTTTCTAAAAATATTTTATCAATTAACTTTAATAGATGAGCAGCTGCATTTATCTCATATATAATATCAACTATATCTTAATCTCGAATATTACAATGGAGTATACTCAGAGGATATATATTAGTATATTTTCTACCATACAATTCAAAAGTTCATTCATCAATAGTTTCTATTATTTTCTTAGTATAGAACTATTTCTATTTTTTATTGCCAATAATAATAACAAGTTAAACTTTACCATCGAATTTCTCTTATTCTAATCCATAAACTAATGCTAGTAGTCAATGAATTAGGATATGATTCAACATAGAACGATATATGAATTGTGCTTTATATTTACATTTAATTTTAAATTCGGTTTATATCTCGTCTCGAACCTTAATAAAATTATTCTTAATGAAATACTATAGATAATAGCATTTGTGGTCAAGTTTAATCAATAAATAAATTCCTTTTATAATCATGTACATTATGAAAACTTAGATTTTTATTCTTTGGTCAATTTTAATCAAAAAAATAGTAAACCTACCGCTCTCTAATTCTGATACTTGATACGAAATGTAACATAAGAAGAGTGTAAGACATATGAGTCATTTCGCACTGATCAGACACTTAGGCCCTCTGTTCTCTTTACTCATTTTAGTTAGTTTTCATTGGTTTAATATATTTATACTTTTTCTTTTCAAAAAATGAATCAAAAGATCGAATTTTAGTTACAAAAAAATATTATTTTTTATTAATGATTATTTTTGTTAGATATATACTTATATTTTTCTATATTATAGTTTAGTTTATTATTCTTATCAATTGACAAAGCAAGACTGATAGTATCATTTACTAATCCGTACTTTTTCTGTTCTATGAGAGATAAGACATCTGTGTACATTTTCACTTTTTTTTCTTTTAGTCCTTTTATCCCCCAAGTTATTTGATAGTTTACCAAGGTGAAAGAGTTTACATATAGATATAAGAGCAATAAAAATTGTATATTATACGAAGTAAGTAGCAAAAATATTCGTAAACAATAATTTTCGTTTCTTTTTAGATATATATATATTTATAATTTGTAGAATAATGAAAGGATCAATTCTCGGTTTAACATTATGTTTTATTTTTTTATTAATTATACAAAAATCAACAGTACATGCTGAAACATGTTTACATAATGAACGTTCAAAATGTACTCAAGTTCGTAATGCTAATGAAATTACATCCAACGAAAATGATCATTGCCATCATTTATGTATTCAAACAGGACATGCAGCAGGACATTGTTCATTAGAATCGAATTGTTTTCAATATTGTTTATGTAATGAAAAAGAGCTATGAAGATATTTTTTAACGTATTTGTTATGTAACTCAGCGATTTCTAAAATTATTTGACTCTTTAATAAATGTTAATTGATTCATAAGAAAATCTCTTAATGTAGTTTATTTATTCAAAATAGTGCGTTCATTTTATGTAAAGATACGACTGTAATATTTAAGTCAATTAAATATGGAGTAGTTTTGATTCCATTTTATTAGTAGTGGCGAATAATACAATTTGATGGATTCGCTGAGAAATGGTTCTTAACATATTTTATTTTATGTTTGACTTAAATGTACGATATTTTAATATAAAAAGATACTTTTAAAATATAAAGATACAGAAAACCATCGAGAAAAGCTCACAAGAAAATGAATAAGAGATTATGAGATATCTTTTTCTGTATTTAGTTTTGGATATAAATCTAAGATTTAATCGACTCTCGTAAGTAGGAGTCATGAAACAGCTGGTTGCATATATTTATAATCATATTTATATCTGTTTTATGAGAATAAATTCTGTTCTACTTTATAAAATATCTTCATTCGATTTTATAATTAAATAACAATCTACATTTTAGACATCAGCGGAAAAAACAGAGTTATACAAACTTTGTTAATTATAACCAGAAACTCAATAGTCATGCCTATTATATATTAGTTTATATTTCTAAAATAATCATAATAAAAACATTAATTATAGTTCTTATTATGATTCTGTTGTTGAAAATGACATCGTTGTTTTTCAGTTTTTCCTTTCAGGAAGTAATTGCAATATCAGATAAAATATATACTGCATGACGAATATGTATTCGTTGAGTAGGTAGAAAAAACAACAACAAATTATAACATCAACGTATAAAGCGACAAAATACACATTTCAGTAGTAGTGTACGATGTCTAATCAAAGTATTACCACTTTTCTTACGTTACCGGTGGAGCTTGTCTACCGCATTCTGGATCATCAAACAGACTTCACCATTTTATGCTCAATGAGAAACGTATGTCAACGTTTCAACAGTATCGTAGATAGCTATCATCGATACCAGGTAAAAACTTTATATGCATGCGTCATTCTTGGTAACTTCTTTTGCGTATAAGTGTTCTCACAAGCCATTATTGAATATTATTCAGTATGTAAAATCATAGATATGTTCATACTGATACTCATACGCCCTGGCACGAGCTCAGAACTATACTCATTTCACTAATCTAATCACAAATAAAAGCTATCAAATATTTTGTTTCTTTATTTGAATCATATCTTTTTATCTGTACACTTTCGTCTAGACACTCAGCACACTAAATCTATGGGGATTTCGAATTCAAGAGGTTGTAGCAAAACATTTGGGTAATGTATTAGAACACAACACAGTAATTGTCATTCTCTCCTCATCTATACCGTGTCGTTACCTCGACTTTTTAATCTAGACACTCATCATATTAAATCTCTGGGGATGTGAAATCGGGGATCATGGAGCTCAATATTTGGGTGATGCATTACACTACAATATAGTAATTGACATTCTCTCTTTATCTATACCATATTTTTCTTTTCACTTTTTCATCTAGACACTCACGACATTGAATCTCTACCATAATTCGATTGGAGATGTTGGCACTCAACATCTGGCCTATGGATTGCAGCACAACACGGTAATTCTCATACTTCCTTTATCTCTATCATATTTTTATCTTTACTTTTTCATGTAGACACTCACCACTCTAGATCTCCGAGACAATCACATCAGAGATCTTGGAGCACAATATTTGGGTGATGCGTTACATTACAACACAGTAATTGACAGTCTCTTTTCATATATACCTTATCTTTCTCTCTATTTTTGCACCTAGACGCTCACTACATTAGATCTTGGATCGAATAATATCAAACATATTGGAGCACAATATTTGGGCGATGCATTGCAACATAATGAAGTAATTCTTATGTTTCTTTTGTCTATATTTTGACTTTACCGCTACATTTTTTTTTACTTAGACGCTCACCCTACTAGATCTCCGAAATAATCGCATCGAAGATCTTGGAGCACAATATTTGGGTAATGCATTACAACACAACACAGTAATTGTCATTTTCTTTTCATCGATACCGTGTCTTTACCTCAACTTTTGCACCTAGAATCTCACTATACTAAATATCTGCCGAAATTCGATTGGAGATATTGGTGCTCAACATTTAGGTTGTGGATTACAGCATAACAAGGTAATCCTCATACTTCCTTTGTCTATAAAATATCTTTACCTCTACCTTTTCGTTTAGACACTGACCGCGTTAGATCTCCGAGAAAATCACATCGGAGCTGTTGGAACACAACATTTAAGTGAGGCATTACATTACAACACAGTAATTTTCATTCTCTCTTCATCGATACTATGTATTTTCCTTCACTTTTGCATTTAGACTCTTACCATACTAGATCTCGGATCTAATCGCATCGAACATGTTGGAGCAAAACATTTGGCTGATGGTTTACGACACAACACGGTAATTCTCATCCTCTCTTCATCTACACTATGTCTTTCTTTCCCACTTTTGTGTCTAGGCACTCACGAAACTGGACCTCGAATCGAATCATATCGGAGATGTCGGAGCACTAAACTTGGCTAATGGATTACGGCATAACACAGTAATTCTCTTTATTTATACCATGCCTTTATCACCCATGCTTTTTATTTAGACACTTACCATACTAGATCTCTCGGAAAGTCAAATCGGAAAGTCGGGAGCACAATATTTGGCCGATGCATTACAACACAACACGGTAATTGTCGTTTTCTCTTCACCTATACTGACGTTTTACCTCCACTTTTGCGTTTAGACACTCATCACTTTAAATCTTTACTATAATTTGATTGAGGATGGTGGAGCACGACATTTGGGCAATACATTACGACATAACACGGTAGTTGTTATTCTCCTTCATCTATATCGTGTTTTTGTCTTTATTCTTTTCTCTAGACTCTGACCACACTAGATGTTGGCATGAATAAAATCGGAGATGTTGGAGCACATTATTTAGCTGATGGATTACGATACAACACAGTAATTCTCATATTCTCTGTATCTATATCATGTATTTACCTACACTTTTTCATCTAGACACTAATCATACTAGACCTCCGAAATAATCATATCGGAGATATTGGAGCACAGTATTTGCGTGATGCATTACAACACAATACAGTAATTATCATTCTCTCTTTATCTATACCGTGCCTTTATCTTCACTTTTCCATCTAGACACTGACTACACTAAGGCTGTGTGGAAATGAAATCGGAGATGATGCTATGCAGGAAATCAATGAATTTTTTGAACGAAATGTAAGTCGAAGAGAATCGTGAATGGTAATATTAAATGTATCTGAATGGCGAACAAACAGCTATTGACGATCATGCAAATACTCTTTTTTGTCATGTAATTTTTATAGAAACAATAAATAAAAGTGATTGCTCGGAGATAGTAAAGAAAAGTTTAATAAAGAATTGTCTCGTAAGCACTAAAACTCTTTTTTTTCGAAGCGGTTCCCCTATATTTAAAAGCATTATCACATTTAGTTAGGCTATTGTTTTTTCCTTAACTGTATAAACTATTCAAATTCAAGAATAAATTCTATCTATTTTAAATATTAAAGCAAGCTCAGTTTAGATTATTGTCTCGCACATCAAAGCAGAATAAGATAAGCAGATATATTTCCATGAAGAGAGAAGATGTGTCGACAATTAATTAATACCAACGAAAATTATTTTCCTTCGATTAACTGACATGAACTATCTACACCTGCTTTTCTACTGAAGTCAGTTAATCGATTATTTCGAATCGGTTTTTATGTATGTTTGAAACTAGGAACATTATTAAAACGTATTTCACAGACTAAAATGTAATAATTCAATAGTTTTACATTCGAAAACTAAGCGAGTAAATATCTAAAAATTCAGAGTGAACAACAACAAAGATTTTATGATATTATAATAACAATTGATAAATGGTCAATCAAAATTACTAATCCATTGATATATAATGCAAAACTCTATATTTACTAGAAAATCGAAATTAATATATCAGAATTACAAACATTTTCTTCCTCCATTTGTTTCAATTTCAATCTTATGGCTAACTTAACGATGATTAGCTCTTTTAAAATGAATGGGTGCTAATCGCAAATTTCTTATGAGACTCTTTGTGAACGTGAGAAATTCCTTTTTCTTAACCCTTAAGAGCCGTATGTCCCTTCCAAGGGACATTGCATGAAACGCTATAGAACGAAGGAATAAAGTCTTTTCTGCAAAAGCTACTGTTTTTAGGGACGAAGACAGTCATAGTGAAAGTATGATGGAACAACATTATGCTAAAACAGTTGTCAAACAGTTGTCAAACGCCCAAACCTAGCTCTTAGAAAGTATAATTTTCCAAGCAAAATTGGTTACTCGGATATTGATATATCCTGATATATACAATATAGATTCTGAGTGATATCATTAGAAATAACTCTAAACTATAGTTTAGAATAACTTTGCACGCTTTTAGCTCTTCTACTAAGGTATTCTGACGTTATAAAAAAGTACCATTTTAATGGCATTTTTGGGCATAGTAATGACGATTATTGTGAATTTTTCGCTCAACAGATAATTGGAGATATGTTAAAATATCATCAGAATGAACTTACAGTGATTCTGAACCATATTAGAAACTCAAGCGCACAAAAAATTATGAAGGTCATATTCCACCCAGGCCATCTGGGTGGAAAAAATTTTTGGTCACACCCAGCAATTCTAACCACGGTAAGTGCATATTGAGGACCCTAAATCTCTATTTATGTAATTAATTCTACCCGAATCTCAGTGGAAGCCCCTTCGGCTCTTAAGGGTTAAGAACAGAATGGATTAATTCAATTGTTTGGAAATAACTCGAGTTCATGTCTATAGAAAGAAAACATGGATACACCCAATCCTTTAAGAAAAAACGATCATACACTTCATAATTATAAAATAAGATTTGTTCTAGAAACATTTTTCTTGTTTAATAAATATAATTCTTGATTCAATAATACGATTGATTATTTTTGTGAGAATCGCACCTCATTTTCGTATACAATCTCCACTCCTGTTTATCTAGTAACATAAGAATTTGTTTTCATTAAAAAATATATTATAACGTTATATATCTTTTGCGTTTTTAAGTGAATAGGACTATCATCTAACTTGTTTGTTAAGCTCGCGTTATAAAACTACTCTTTTATTGACACGAACATGTTTATGAATATGATAAACTATAAAGAAAAGATTTTATTGCATATATATTGTTAATGAACTTTAGTTTGAATATACAAAAAGTTCTAGTAGTTAAAATTCTAAATATCTTAAACAATATATTTCTTGTCTTATGTAAATACTGATAATTTTTATCTTTATAAAAGAAAGACAAGTTGCTTTCATCTTATGTAAATTTTTTATCATATAATGTTGAATATTACATAAAATCAATGTTTATTTTAATCTGTATTTTTTAAAAGCACAAACAAAATAAAAAGATAGTATAATCATGTGAGTTATTTAAAAATAATTTAGTTTGTTACGGATGGTGTCGAAAACGAAGCAAAGAATCGTTGTAATTGTGGTGGCATCATTTTTGGTTCAGTAAAAAAATATTTTAAATTAAGCATTTGTCGATAAAAAAGACCAATAAATAGTATTATTGCTGCTGCTTTATACCAATATGATTCGATCAGACGAAAAGCAAGAACAAAACCAGAAGTATGTGCTACAACATCCAATGTTGTTTCTGCAATTTCTTTACCAGATTGCATAATACTAAATCGATTTGCTTGAAATTCGATACAAGACCAATGAAAAATACGTGAAATTTTATGAGAATTATCTTCTACTTTTCCTTCCTCGCCACGTTTTGGTGGTGGATTCGATACTAAATTATGATAATAATAAAGATGAACAAAAAATGCATAAATCCACATGATATAAAGTGGCCAACCGACAGTTTTTGGTGAATGAATTAATACATTAATTAAATGAGTAAATCCATCGAGAAGAAAATAATTCTGTTGACGGCGAATAAAACCCAATTTGGAATTACGAATTCCTATATGAATAAAATATCATTAAATGAATATTTTCAAATTAAAATCACATAAATAATCTGTAAGATTACCTAAGAAAACAAAAAGATGTGTCATAGACATAAATAATTCCAGTCCAGCCCAAAGCGTATAAAATTCTTGCTGAAATATCATGATGCGTGTTGTGTCGAACTTAATACTTTCTAAAAGGAAAATGACATATATATTCGAGTTTACGAAGTGTTATTATGTCGTTTGTTTTATATTTTATCTCTCTTTTTTTTTCGTTTTTCGCCATCAGTATGTTGCTGCTCTCTTATATACTACACAACCTTAAGTATATAGAATACGAATGGAAGAAAGAGAGACAAATTAAAAAAGTAAAGGTCGATTAGGACACTTTTTTATTTTAGATAACTTTTTCCTCTATAAATTCAAATAAAAACAAAGGTAAAATGTATATAAAAAATTCCTATGCTTTGCCATAAACGGAGAACATAGTTTATTCATTATAATATATTTTTTTGATATATATAGACACAAGAATGAACTACTGCAGAAGAGCGACATCTCTATCTGTTATCGAAAAATTAATAAATAAAAATTAAGATTTGGTTTTTATTAAAAGTATCTCATTGAAACTTGCAGATACATAATTTTATTATATGTCTATCTTAAATATTGTTCAACTAAAATTTGAAGCAAACATCACGAAGATGGCTATTAATTTTAAAAACATCTATATACAAGAGATAACATTCATTTTTTTGAGTAAAACATCTCCTCTGAAAATATAATCTCAATTTAATTCTGTAAAAAAAACCTAATAATGATATTTGTGTGTTTTTCTTTAAACAAGTTGATTGATATCATATGCACTCATCATTAAAACTCTTCTTTCATAGTCAATTCAATAGAGTTGAGTGAATTGAATTTATTCAATTAACTTAAAGAATTTTAGCAATGTGTTTAACAAGTTACAACTAATTTCCAGTTTCTATGCATGCAGAACATAGCTGCATAAGATTCCATACATAGTTATCAATAAATATGAATGCCATCATTTAAATGATTATTTCTTCGAGTACATGATTCAATTTGAACACTCAATCGATTATCATTTAATTTTTGGGTTCGAGTCTTTAATAGAATGTGATTTCACTTTCAGTTTTGACTCATACACAATAAATCTTGATATTTGAATTATATATTTAATGGAACGTTTCTGTTTCTTAGCACAATTATTATTTAATTTAGTAGTGTTCTTTTTCTTCTTACTGATAACTATTTATTGTGAAACCACAATTACTAACTATCGATCCATTGTTTTAGCCATCAGACAAGTACCAGTATAAAATAAAAACGATTTATTTTGACAAAAACTAATTATTTTTTCATCACAACAGACTTCATAATAATCAATAACACATAAAATAAAATAATGTCACATAATAAATTTATTCGAGATTTGACAAAGTTATCATAATGACGACAATGGTCTTTGTAACATATGATTTCATTTCTCATCGAATCTAATATGATATAGACATTTGTGTATAACATCGCATGGTTTATTGTCAAAAACACACACACAAGTACCACCTACTACCTGAGTTCAGTACAAAGGACATATGTCAATGTAATTTGGGTCAAAACTATATAAGACTTTATTCGATCACATATTCTACAGTATGAAAATGCAGTCTATCACATTTATCTTCTTATTTATTACAATGATGAATGCACTTCTACATTCATCAGAAGTTGAAGAATCAAATGAAGAAAACGCATCTGATCGTGGTTTGTTAAGTTGCCTTTTATGGAATAAACTTGAAGGTGATCCTACTGAACTTCTTAAAAAGGTATTAAAACCACCATATCAAGTTCCATCTACATTTCCACGACAGTTAAATGAAGGTTGAGTCGTTGATGAAGTTTGTGATCCATTAAAACAACCAAAAACGTGTGATTATCATAAAGGTGCTTACGGATGTTATCGATTTGCTTATTCAAATACAGGATCTGGTGCTCAAGCATGTTATGATAAAAATGGTAATTTTATAAGTGATCCATGGAGAGGTGGTAGTACAGTTGACCAAGAAACTCTATCGGGTGATTTGATTCAATCAGCTAAACATGTAGCTTGTGATATTGTACCTTATAGTTGTTGTCAAACGTTCTTTTCACCTCAATCATATACATGCAATCTCTATTATGAAAAACGGCCAACAGGACAATGTGAAAATAAAACTGCTATTTAAACTATTTTCTTTATTGAATATTGTAAAATTTATAAATATATATATAATAAAATCTGTTGTTTTTGGGCGTTGGATAAGATGTAAATAGTTTGATTAGAATAATATGCGTATGGAAAGAGATTTTCATGACTGTTTGTAATTTTATGGCTTTAACCTCATAATAATTTTTAGAATGGAAGAAAGAGTGATACATCTGTTGTCTAACTATATTTTAATTGAAAAATATACAGAAATGATCATCGAGTATTTCATTTTTATACCTTTTCCCATGCAATTCATCATGATTAGATATTAATATATAATGAAAATTATATTCTAAAAGATAATAGTTTACTTTTATTCCGATTTTATTCGATACAGATGCACCAAATAAAAATAATCCAATCAGTAGCCCATATTTACATTGGATCATAATAAATTTTGAGTGTAGATACAAATGTGTGTTTTATAATTACTTATACTCATCCCTAGACCCATACCCTCATAATTGCATGTATTGCAACATGGAATATTCCATGATTGGAATGTTCTGTTCTTATTTCAAAGGAGAACTTCTTTCCAACTTTTATTTATCACGACTAATATGAGTAAACTTCGTATGCGTCATACTTTTTCCCCATACATCTTACGTGTCATACTTTTTTCTATACTTTATTTGAAATGATGCCACTGGGTATTTTTATTTATTGCCTAATAGTTATGAAATCTTCGTAAACCAGTATATATATACGCTATGTTAATAGAAAAGATCAACAACAGTTTGGTTTGCACTAACTACAATATATTCTGTAAAAAGTTTATATTCTTGTTGTTCAATGATGAATAATTACGAACAAATACCTATAATTACACTTGAAGAAGCTGTTGAACCATTAGTACTTTACGTTCCTGAAGTAAATGATATGGTAAAATTAGTAAAACAAAAGTGTCAACAACCAAAAGATAATCTTTCAATAGATGAATCGGCATCAATTATGCTTTTTACAATGAGATGGGTACCCAAACAAAATTCATTTCGTTATATATGCAATCAAAAATTGAAGTCCAATAACTCTAATGAATTATATCCTTGGCATTTATATTTAAAATTAATTTGTATATCATTATCAAAATTACCAACCTTATCTTATCAAATATTTTATTGTGAGGTTCAAATGGATTTAATCAACGAATATTCGTTAGATACAAAGTTTGTTTCAGATGGATTTTTATCATGTCAGTTATCGATTGAAGCTGTTGATCGAACAGATATTAGTACTTTATTTATTATTCTTAGTAATCAAGGAAAAAATATAAGTCAACATACATATGATATAACAGAGAATGAAATTTTACTTCCAGATGGACAACAATTTCAAGTTGTTTCAAATGTAAAATCACAAGATGGCCGTCGTATTATCATTTTACGTGAATTACCTTTTAATGATTCTGATGAATTATTTTCTCGGCCACAACTTCAGGACATAACTGATAGATCATTTGATTTATTATTTCAACAACGAATTATAAAGAATGAATCTTGTTTAGAAATTAATTTAAGAAATCAAATATTAATGGATCATCATATAAATAAAATTGTAGAAGAAGGTATTAAAAACAATCAATGTACTTGGTTAACATTACAAAATAGTTATATAACATTAAATGGTCTATTTATTCTAGCTGATGGATTAAAAATGAATAAATCATTAGAAGCATTATATCTTTCACGAAATCTTGTGAATGATATTAGTGTAAAGTTATTAACAGATATTGCTTTATGTAAATACACAAATTTAACTATGCTTGCTCTTGATCATAATCAGATTAGAAATGAAGGTGCACAGTATTTAGCTAATATGTTAAAAACAAATGAAACTTTAACTGATTTATGGCTTTCATATAATAAAATAGGGGATCAAGGTGTGCAATATTTCGCTGATGTCCTTGCTTCTAAAAATCGAACTCTTATGCAATTATATTTAAATGGAAATAAATTAATAAGTGATTTAAATGTCGATTCTCTTGTTTATGCACTTAAATTTAATGCAACTTTGAATACGCTTTGGCTACAAGATTGTAATCTATCACAAGAGAGCAAACAAAATCTCGAAAATAGTGTTGAACATAAACATGATTTTTATTTAAATGTATAACTTAGTATAATATTGTTTTACATCTTTTTTTGATATTTTGTTTCTGTTCTGTTGTTTTAAGATATATGAATAATTTATTCATGAAAGGAGATGATTCCATCACGCTCGTTTTTAATAAACGAAAAGTTGCAGAGAACTTTGCCGCGGTTATTTTGAAAAGCATAATTCTATGTCTAAAATTGCAAACACATTCGATCCTAGATACTAAGTCGTTTATGCGTAATGAAAGAAGTAAAGCATGACAGAATAACGTTTAACGTGGCTAGGCAGCTGTCAGCACAATAAATTATAAATGAAGAGAACGGAAGAAAAAAAGGTAAAAAAAATCTGAAAAGAAATACTTCATTTTTTTTTATTTATTTGTTGATAAGAAATATGAGAAAGAAATCGAGATTTTTTGCAAGATTTCTCTATTCTTTTAGTTTCGTTTTTTTTTGTAATAAACATGGCGAGTTGGAATTATGGAAAAGAAACAAAAAAGAAAAGGCCGGCAGATGCGGCGAATTTATATGTAAAAAATTTTGGTAAAGATATGACTGAAACTGAATTATGT